CACGTGCCATCTCTGACTCTCTGGTTTAATATGGACCGTCAAGCATGCTAATCCGTGCCATTGAAGTATCTAAATTGCTGTCTGAAGTTGCGGGAGACAAAAGGTAAGGTTGTGTGAACTTGTGATCTTCACCATATATATGTTAATATGGGAAGCACAAACAGCTCAGCTTTTTTTTTTTTTTTCTGTTCCAGATTAATTAGATAGCTTGCTATACTAGCTGTCACTTCACTGTTTCCATCCTTCTTATTTTATTGTTCTTAACAGTAAAGAGTTGGCGATATTGATAATTATTTTTAGCTTTTGGTGCTTATTATATGATAGCGATCATTGAAATGACACGCAGATATTAATGCGTCTCTAGCAAAATCTTCATATATCAGTTAATGGTTTTCTACTGATTTACTTTCTTGCTTACGCATGTCAACTATCTTTCAAAGTTCCCTTGTATATTCTTAATTAGCACCGATAAAAGTGGGATTCACACCTGCGAATCAGACATGAAATGTCAGTATATATAGAGCAGTAGCACTAGGAGACATTTTTGAAAATTAATGAGAACTTCGCTTTGTTAATTAATTGACTAAACGAAATCTTTAGATTTAGAACATATATTAGGGATAGATTTCATTGAAAACCTGTCTCCTGTTAACTTGGAATATATATATATGTACATCGACTAATTTCCTAAAATATTCTCTCAGAATATAACGAAAAAGAAGAAATAATTTTACTTGGTGTATATCATATAATGTGAATGTATTTATGTTTGATGATTATAATTGAGACAAACAGCAAGGTTCCATGTTACAGTAAATATCAATTTACAAGCATGTTGATGTCAGCTACATATAAGGGCTTCCTTGGCGTGAGGATTTCAGCCAGCTTCCGAAGAGGAAGACCTAATCGTATAAGCAAGAACTACATAGAAAAGAATATTACACTTTTCTATTTTATTAATCCAGGACACACACACACACACACACACAGAGACCTTTCTTTTTCAGCATGATGTGAACAATTCAAATAATAACACAAATACCTAGCTGATGATTCAGAATAATTTTCCTTATTAAAGGGCTCTCTCTCGAGATGTGACATGTATTGGTCCCGTGTCATGATTGCTTAAACTCGTGGCATCTTTCTGGTGTTGACATAACCCTACTTCATTCCTTGTATTTGAACCAAATGTAACTTTCTTCCTTATAAATTAACCCTATTATATAGGTTTTTTGCCTTCTCTCCATTTGCCTGCCTGGGAAAACTAAGGGAAATGAATCTGAAAGTCATCGCCCTTGAACAATATAATATAATATATATGACTGTAAATATCAGTATATATTCGGTTCGGAAGCTAGGAAAGATATAAATAATATATATAGTTGAATTGATATTTAAATTTCTAAGCCAAGCTAAGCTAATTGGGTAGATTGAGTTGGGTTTAGCTGGATCATTTATTTTTTGAGTCTCGAACCAGTCGAATGCATGTGATGGAGGACTCCCAAGGTTTAAGCTATTGATCACAGAGCATGCATACTCTTGGATCTCACTCAACTCTCATTCCTATTGCCAGCATATTATCAATAATAATTACTACATTGATTTCATCAACGGATCATGCAATTAGATTTGGAGGCATTAACTATGTTTATCGATCATGAATCATCAATTCAATATACTTAATCCATCCATGACCTGTTTATTCTATTTGTGCTTTCATATTCTCTGCATGACAATTTAAAAGTACAAGATTGACATATATTAATGTTGTCATTAATTGAGTTGAGTAGAACAAATATAATATGATGTTCTTTAGGACGTGGTGCTGCTCAAATTTAGTTTGTGGTCGATAAATATTGGGTGGTTAAAGGAAAAAATATATAAGATTAAATTTAATATATGCTTCCAATAATATCACAAGGGTAGACAATCGATATGCGCAACATATATTATGTACTCTCTATTACTGGGAATTACAAGAGGACAAGAAAAAGGTTGAATGGGTTTTGTCATATCGTTATGCCTTAATTGCAAAGCTAAGACTGTGACATGGTCACGTCATTCTTAATTTATTAAAAAAAACGTGTGGAAACTAGAAAAGTTTTACAGAGATTAAAACAAGAGAAAATTATGTACAAATTTTGTGGAGCAGATTTATTTACAAATATATTCTATGAAATTTAAAAACCATAGCCAAGCGTCCCTTGAAACTTGAGTATAATTTAAAATTAAATTGCATGGACAATAATACTTCTATTAAACATACATTACATCAATCAAATAATTAATTTATAATTATTTTATTAGTAATTTATAAATATAGTTTTAGCTTTTTATAACTATAACTTTACAAATTCAATGGTTAAACAATCATGTGTTACTAATAAATTTTAACATTAATTATTTATAACTTTAACTTTAACTTTCTATAATTGTAACTTCACATATTCAGTGGTTAAATTGATCAATTTAATTTAATTATTGAATATATAAAATTATAATTATAAAAAGTTAAAGTTATAGTTGTAAATTATTGATAAAATAGTTATAAATTATTATATTTTTTATCCAAATTTTAAATTACATTCAAGTCTTAAGAGACTTATATTTATAAATAAGTCAACTTGAGGGGTTCTATATGTAATTTTCCCTTAAGACAATTAGTTCAGTTAATTAGTTATTCGTACATAATATTTGCCAGTTTTTCTAAAATACATTATTTAATCATTTATACTGAAAACTATATATATTGATGGAGACCTCCTTCAATTAATGTCTGCAATCAATAAGAATAAGTTTAAAAAAAATTATAAGTTTAAGATATAAAGTAGATTGAAGTTAAGCAAGCCCTCAACAACAAGGGAGTCCAGTAAAGATGATGCAAACAAGTACTTTTCTTTTAATTTAATTAGTTTATTTATTTCATCTGTCTTTCGATGATGAGAGAATATATATACGTGTGTGTATTGATGTCATATTTGAAAGTGATCAATATGAAGACAGAGTATCACGTTAGATTATATGCATACGTCCACGGTCGATCCCAACTGGGAACCTTCTTATACAACTTATTTCATGAAAAAATTACATATAAGTTCTTTGAAGAATACTTATTTATAAATAAGTCCCATAAAATTTAAAAATCACAACTAAATCAATTGAGACCTAAGTGTAATTTAAAATTGAGATGAAAAGATAATAAATGTCTATATTAATCATATATGTATTATATCAGTCAAATAATTTACAATATTTTTATCAATAATTTACAATTATAACTGTAACTTTATATATCCAAGAATTTGTAGTTGTAAATTACTAATAAAATAATTACCTATTAAATATGTAAAATTACAATTGCAAAAATTTAAAATTGTATTTGTAAATTACTGAAAAAGTAATTATAAATTAATTATTTAATTAATGTAAGTATTGCAATCTAATTTTAAATTACACTCAAATTTTAAAAAATTTTGCTATAATTTTTAAAACTCACAAGATTTATTTATAAATAAGTCTGTTCTACAAAACTTAGATGCAATTTGTCCTTATTTCATCTTGAAAATGAAATTTCTCTTGAAAATCGTGGGAACAAATTGGCTCCAAATTAAATTTTATATAACTGTTATATCAGTCGAGCAGCGTGATATATATATATATATATATATATTTATTGAGGCAATCATCTCAATCATTACCATGATTTCTGAGTAATGATTAACGAAAATTGCTGTTAAATTGATTGATTAGTTTTAATTAAGTAGAGCGGGTGCTAGTTCTTTATTGAAACCTTTTTAGGTTAGGTGAGTAAAAGCAATTAAAGTCACATACATATGCCCAACTCCAACCTATATGAATACAGTGCCCCAGAGTCGAAACAAAAGTCAAAGAGAAGGAACATGACCGAGAGATGTTTTATGAGTATCATATAATAAAAAAAAAGTATTTAAAAACAGTTTAAAAAATAAATTAAGGAAAAAAAAATCAGTTAATCAAACAGGCTAAAGATCCTTTTATTTAATGACGATGGACTTAAAAATTTCGTGGCCACATGACCTGGAAGAAATCTGAGGTTTTCCTGCAGCGCCATGTATGGTTTTATTTACTTTCATGAGGGTTGACTAATAGATAATTATAAAATATACATCTGGAGTTGTCACCGTTAATCATACTAAATATCTCACCGGCAGTTTCCAGTGTTCACTTAAACAAAAACACAGCTTCACTGATTATGATGCATATTTATGTAAGATTCCAAATGCAATTTTTTTCCCCTTTAAAAAAAAAAGAGTCATCACTTTGTGATCTGACCGATATGTTTCAATAAGAAAAATCAAACCGCGAAAAGATTCTCTTGTAACTTCAAAAATGAATAGCATATTTGTTGGTCATGACCCTGGGGAAACCAATATCTCAGATCACACAAGCGTTCTAATTTTTTTGTTATTGGATGGATATATATGAAATGTGACGCTTGTGTGTGGGCATGCACACTGCCTTTTTTTTTTACAGGGTTTGTTCAGTGTAAGGATTAGGCATGACTAAAGCCAATAATTTGGGTTTGATTTAAGCCCAACATATTGGGCTTTTCCTCAGCCCAATTTATTCGGCCTTTTACAGCTTTCACTGAACCAAGCATTTGAAGGTCCAAGATCATCCTCTTCAGCCATTAGATCTAGCCAACAATTTTGTCGTTCAGTTTTTTTGGTTTAAAGAAGACGACAACAATATATTTTATGCATCAAATCGATCTAAATAAATTGAAGATTTGAATAGACGTTTCGCCTCTTTAGTTTTATATATCATCAGAACTTTTTTTTTTTCTGGTTGAAAATATATCATCATAATTTTAATTTGGTTCTTTTAGTTCCCAAGTAAAGAGCTAACGATCTCTAAAGCAATCCATTAATTTTGTTCTTTTTGTCACTTATCATATATACAGTAGAAATTGATGTCATCACATCAGTTCCTTGCTATGAAAGAAACAAAATAAAAACAAATAGAGGGTAAAGTAACTGTCTCTTTCAAATTACAGTTAATTAAGAAGGGAAAAACACACGAACGCAATATCAGGAAAATTAAGAGAGAACATATGACGTATTGTAAAATCAAAATGAAGGACGCTTACATCTTAAAATAAGCACACTTAAGTCAAATAAAATGAACAAAGAAATGAAGGATAGCGCAAAACAACTCGATTATTAGATGGCAAATGGATCAAGGCATAAAGAGGAAAGTAATTAATTAGTTGACCCTCCTGCAGTTTTTCCTGACCTCGCCCTGAGAGCCAGTGAGGGGAGAAATATCGCCCATCTTGATCATGGCTTGAACGAAGTCGTCAGAGAAAGATTTGGGGTTGGCGGTGTAGCCTCGCACGATGGAGTCGGTGGATCCGCCATTGAAGAGTACCTGATCAGAGTGAAGAAGCCCTTTCTTCTGAATCAGGTTCTTGAAGTAGCTGTTGTCGAAGGACGTGGGACTCTGTAAATCAAGCGGCGCCAGATTGTTGTCCCCAGAACCCGAAGCCCTTGGGCAGTTGGATTGCCTCGAGCGAGCGAACACCTCTTCTATGTTGCTCTCGTTGTATATGTGCGCTCTGAAATTGGTGCACCTCGCTTGTCCAATCGTGTGCCCACCTATATATATATTAACGTTAGAAGAAACTCAAGAAAGTGACGATCGAGGAAATTAATGATGTTGGGAAGAAAGGAAAGGAAAAATACCAGAGAGAGCGACCAAGTCCTTGGTGGAGAGGCCGAGGGAGGAGAATCTGGAGATGAGCTGGTTAAGGTTAGATGTGGGAGCTGGGATTCCATTGTTTGCAGCAGAGAGGCTGGCGGTTCTTGCATCTCTTCTTCCGAGCTTCACGTCCCAGTAAGGCCCTCCAAGCTGAAAGTATCATTTGTATGTGAGGATCATGAAATGTTTAATGAGAATGTGAGAAGAGACTAGAGAGAGAGAGAGAGAGAGAGGCTGACAAGGTGAACGGAGTCTCTGGCAGCGGCGGCGAGGATGTCGGCGCAGGAGACGACGCCGGGGCAGGCTTTCTCAACCTCCGACTTGATGGCGTCGATCACTTCGAAGCCACGAGCTGAGTTCTTGTTGGGCACCGCGCCCTTCTCTCCCTTGAACTTGGAGGTGTCATCCAGCAGAACCGAGCCATCACATCCCTTCCATAATTAAACATACCAACCAACCCTTTATGAGCTTCATTATAATTTGTCACCATCATCTTCACTACTTTAATGATGCTTTTCATGTTTTTCACGGTGAATTTCTTCTCATAAAACTTACAACACAACTTACATGAGGAAGAGGATGGAGACTCCTTCAAGATAACGACGACAAGTGTAAATCCTTAGAGTATTTTATTAATTATTTTTTTAATAAGTTGAAGAAAACATAAATGAGATTCTTTGGGTCAATCTCCATTAACTATGACACGTGGAACTTGATTCATAGTCAATTGGGTTCAGAGTACATGGGATAATAAATGAAGATGAAAGAAAAGTTGAAGAGACAAATTACATTGACGAAGCAGTCATGGAAGAACAAGCGAAGGAGGGAGGCACCCATACGTGCTTCCTTGGCAATGGCGGAATGCACAGCGTTGTTGACAATGTTGGGGAGGTGAGGGCAAGATCTGGAGTAAAAGTTGGCAGAAAGTTGAGCATTCACAGTGCTCCCCAAGAGGAGCACCATCACAACCAGAACACAACTCATTGACCTCCAAGAACCCATATTCGATCGCTACAGGAATTACTCAACTGAGATGAGTTTGTGGGCTGTGAATGAATTGTGAGAGTGTTGTGCATGCAGTGGAGTGCTACTGAGTATGTATATATATAGATGAGGATGGGCTTGGAACTTGGCTGTGGTCAGATCTCAAGGTGGTTTGGGTCGGCAGGTGACCTAACACGTAGACAAACAAGTGCATGGGTGACTATGAAGGAATATTGCCGAGTTTCAAAAGTGGTTAACGCTGTTTCATACTTGACAATGATTATAGGAATACGCAAATACCAGAAGAACCCGCGTTACTATTGTTCATTTGAAGCAAAGTGGTTGGTAAATAGTGCATATTTGTCAAGGTTTTGGGGTCCCACTGTTGTTAACGCTTTGATGTGCTATACGCATAACAATATTATTTTCTTCATGCGATACAACCAGCAGATCAGAGCAGTAATTCAGACTAGAAGGCGAAATTTGACTGGCTCTTTAGAGGTTCCAGAAACCGCACAAAGCAAAAGCGTGAAGACCGAACCATCGATCCTGAGCACCTTTTGACTTGGCTTAAACTTCTATGATACATAGAAAAGTTGGTAACTTCACCAAGCATGCCTTCAGGTTTAGTAAATAGTAAATATTTACAAACAGTGATAGATCTAAGACCTGGGACTAGGGAAAGCATAATTATTTTTGATAAGACACGAGTGATATATACTTTATCATAGCAAAATTTAATTTGCCAACTTATAGAACCATATGGTCTAGGTTTTATTAGATGCACAACTTGTTTAATAATAGCGAAGTCCCTAACATATATAACAAACTTGATTTGTTAAAAAATTAAACAACGAATTAAATTGAATATATAAAGATCAAATTATTTTCAATTAGTAAAATTATAGAAAAATTTAAAAATAAAATAAAATAAGTGTTTTCACTAAAAATATAAGAATTAAATGGTTTCAAATAAAAATCTTATTAAAAAAATGATTCATGATACTTCAATTATTTTAAAATATCAATCTTCTCTCACTACTCATTGTTCCAAATTTTTGTAATTCCACCGTCAATTTCACTCCTCCCAAAATTTTAAACCTAAACTTTTATATCCCACTATACTTCTTCTCTCCAATAAATTTTGCACCCCAACTGCTCATCTAGATCTAGGTGACTGTCAAACCTAAAATATCAGCAGGGACAAATTAAAAAACAATCCATTTTTTTATGAGGAATCACAAAATTGAGGGGACCAACTGCTCACCCTCAAATGCATACAGGTCAATCACTGTTTATAGACATATTTATAGATCGCTCATTAAAAAAATTCTCACATCAGCAATGATATTTAATCTCATAATTTTATGAATTATGAATTAAATTCTTATTGATTGTACCGAATCTTTTGCTTGCAGAGTAGAGTTTAATTTGGTAAGCTTTTACAAAAGTCCATGATTAATTAATTAATTATGTGTCATGCTGGCATACTGGCTTTTTTTTTTGCTTTTTTTTGGGGGGGGGGGGGTTGGGGGCGGGGGGGAGGCTTTACATTACTGCCATGTTGAAGCAACGCGTGGTTTATACTTTATGGGGTCAAAATGCGACGACCCAACAACCATCCTCTCCGATCCGTCCTCAAAGTAAGCCTTGTTCTAGTAAGTTCCTGCACCAGTCGTATATTTATTCCCAAGGAAATTAAACTTCAATTCATTTTTAAGGCCAGCGCTCATCTCTCTCTCTCTCTATATATATATATATAGCAGCTGTATGTGAATAGTATCTTAGTAATACTCCATCCGGTACTAAACATAGAAAATAATTAATTAATTTATAAAAATTAAATGAATTAGTTAAATTTGTTGTTTATTAAAAAATATGCATTGGATTTCCTAAAATGCACCCTTTAATTGTTTACATTGAAAACTATCTGGTCCTATTGAAAAAAAAAAGTTCATTTAATATGTGTAATCGATATAAAAAATTTAGAAAAGATTGTATATAAATTTGGGAGCTATGATCACGCCATCACATCCCTCCACAAAACCATATTATGCGTTCGCAGCCATTAACATACAGAGTACGATTTAAAACTGCATTACAAATTAATCACGACCACTAATTTATTATCGGATTCTATTAAAAAGAAAAAGAGGAAGAGAAAGCATTCGATGAGCTAAGTGGTATACGAGATGTGTGTACAATATAGTATAGTAATATATAATATATAATTAGGATCGAAATTATATACTGTTCAAAGTTGGTTAATTTGGAGCAAAAGTTGAGAGTTCAGACATTCCTTCGATTGTCCAAATTTGACCTGACTCCCCTCCAATCCTACATCACGTCGCATGGACTCTCTCTCTCTCTCTCTCTCTCTCTCCCCCCCTCTCTCTCTCTCAACGTGTTTTGGCTGTGTCAAAAGGAGCAGTTGAGTTTCCCATTTTAAAAGTTGTATAAATGAAATGTGGGCTTTTATAGTTTTATTTTATATATCTTGCTTTATTTCGGGATATCTACTTGTCGCTTTTCTGATTAGTAGTTGGGGTCATGGAATCAGAGCCATCCCTTGGGCGGTAAAACAAGGAAAAGTCGTACAAGTACAGCCACATCAACCTTTTCGATTTGCGTCCCCTCATTTTTTTTTAATACGTTTGCTTAAGTCTCAGAGTTGGAAAGCCATTAGCCATTGCATGTTAATTACAGTCGGCATCTGGGTAAATCTTGAAATTAAATTTTAAAAAATGATAATAAAATTTTTTTTGAATTAAACATTTTAATCTTTTAAAATGCTATAATTCCTCTAAATACTTTGGAGACTTTTCTATTATTAAAAAATTAATATAAATAATTAAATTATCCTCAATTCAAACTTGTAAATTGCTATTAAATTTTTATAATTTTTTACAAAAATTATGAATCTCAAAATAAAACTTGTGGATGATAATTGATATTTATAACACTTAAAAAATATTAAAATTTTAAATATAAACTCATAAATTGTTGTTGAATTTTTACAATTTTAAAAAAAAAGTTATAAATCTCACAACAAAACTTATGAATTATAATTAATATTTAAATTAAATACAATTTATTTATTTATATTATTTTTTAATAATAGAAAAGTCATCCCTAAGAGTTTCAAGAAAATTATGGCATTTTGATATATTAAAATGTTATTTACATAATTCAAAAGGATTTTAATGTCATTTTTCCTTAAAATTATTATTTGGAACCTTAAAAAAATTCCTCTTCTCTAATCTTAAATGAAAGTTTTGATGTGAGATTAAATATATCATTTGGTTGAGGTTACGCGCTGGGATGTTAAATTTGATGGTATTTTATTTCATGCATGACTATCAATTAGAGCCTGGGCTCCTAATTGAGAATTAAAAATTTCAAGTTTAGTAGGCATCTCACTGCCATCAACAGCTCCTTTAATACTTCAATCTCCAATTCCAATATCTAAATATTTGCAAATCAACACAAACGTCTTTTATATGACCCCAAACAAAAAAAAAATGTTGTACCATTCCATCATATTCAGCCCCCTCTACTCTGTGTAAGTATTTCTTTTCTTTTGGTCGTCCCCCCAATTTATTAATTAAGAAAAGTTTTGGCTATGAGTTGGGCCTAAGGGTTCATTAGAATTAAAGTATATTTTAAAACTTAAAAAATACTTATAAAAATATTTATAGTACTCATTAATAAATTCTTCATATTGGTAGCGGGAGGCCATCTCTATTTATATTGGACTTATAGTGTGCGCGCGCTTTTTTTTTTTTTTATGGTTAATTTTGGCTCTTTCTGGAAGAGTTAGATTAATTTTATATTTGTGATTACAGCTTGTTGTCTTCGGACCTGATCGTAGTAAATCTTTCGTCATCAAGGAGTAACCGAGTGGCATATAATTGTCTCTTTCAATTATTGAATGTCTTGATTGGAGATATGCAAATACTACTCCTTTGGATTATATTATGAGTCGTTTTTTTAGGAACTTCACTTTATCTAAAATAGAGGTAAATATTGTACATTATTTTCAATTATACTTTTATTTTATTGAGTAATTAATGAGAGTGTTTTGAATAAATCAAATGTTATATTACACTCAGAGGTATATCGGAATATACATGAAAATTTTTAAAAAATTAAAATTTTAACCATGTTTTTTTAGGAATATAAACTAGTTAATAATAACTTATATTGTGATCTTGATGTAGTATTGTAGATGTAGTTAATTATTTATTTATAAATATAATTAAAAAAATCTTATTCCTATTTTTAAAAGAAAAAATCTTAGATTTTGAATAAAACCTTTTGGCTTGTTGAATATTGTGGGAGGATTCATCCGTCAAGATGGGGAATCTATTCTCCCATCAATTTTAATTATATTAGTTATCTCTAATAATGTCTACTTAACTTTACATTGTAGGCAAAAAGTTGACTGAGTTGATTCCTTGTAACTTGGTTTGGAAAAAACGTTGGCGCGCCGTAACCAATTCCCATTTTAATTTTTGTTTTCTAACGCAACAAAATTTTATTTGGTCAAAAATATACCACAGATACAAAAGATCTAATAAATCAATACTTATATCTTAAATTTCACACAGTGCACTTTGGCTCCTATCTAATTAGGAAGGACGATAAATTGGAAAGGTATTTGATGTTTAAGAAAAAATTTGAGATGATGTTTGGAATCTATGTTTTTGAATGGATAAAAGAGTGGATTGGTTGCTAAACATATGAGATTTTGAACTTATTTTTAATATAATATTTTCTTCAACTTTTAAAAATAGTAGATTAGTTGATCAGAATATAATAAAAAAGAATATCATAAATTAAAAAAAAAAGATCAATAAAATTTTCTGGGTCATTTTCTCTTTTTTTTGGGTTATTTTTTGCAATTTTTTTATATCTTTTTCTGATCAAATAATGATCAAAATTAACTTTTACTAATGATGATGTTATTGCATCATTTTTAAAAATTAAATAAAAATATTAAAAATAAATTTAGAATTCAAACATTTTGGGTTCATGATTTAGATACAGATTTGCCACTTAACCCTCCTTTTTCTTTAATTACTGTTAGTGGATG